TTTGTGTTCGTTCTCTTTTTAATTTTGTTTTGGGTTCTTGGCGGTGTTTCTTGGGTTACCTTTGTTGGAGGAGTTGATTATCTTTTGAGCATATTTCCCCCATTTTATCAAAAAACCAAAAAAATAAGAAAATATAAAAACCAAAAATATTTACTTTTCATTTAACCCCCCCTCCCCTTTTTGTTTATATTTATATAAGTTTTATACTAAGTTATATTATAAGTTCTTTGTTTATATAAGTTATATTTATTAGTTTATATATTTATTTAATTAAAAGTTTTATAAGTATTATCATTTGTGTAGTAGTTAATTTTATTTTTTTAGTGACAATGTGTTTGCATGCTAAATTGGTTTTCAGAAGTACAAATTTTCTCCGTGGGATCGACCCTTACTTGCCCTAGCTATAGTTTTTATTTGATTATATTTTGGGGGTTAGTTAAGGATATTTTATAAATTTTTAATTTGTTTTGGACTACACGACATGTCCCCAACAGTACTAGACCGGGTCTAGGATTGTTTACTAGATTCGTAAATGTGAATGGTAAAAACACACAAAATGACCGGGAGGACTGTAGGTGGAAACACCTGTAGCCCAATTGTTATTATAAATATAGGAGAATGCACGAGAACTTTTACAAGGGAGTTTTAGAGAAAAGAAATCGGATCCTTTCCTTTGAAGGTTAGAGCAGTATTTATACTAAGCTCAAAGGGGACAAACCACCGCTCATCCAAGTCAGGGCACGTTCCTGAGTGGTGGGAGGTGATTTCCATTGTCGTCTAGCTGCCTTGTCACTTAGTGAGGAAGGTGGCTTCCTTGTCATGTAGCGCCTTGGATGGATTACTCGAGCATCATCAATGATTCTCCGTTGATCTTGGTCGCTACGGTCCAAGCTCCTTTGGATTCTTCTCCGCCGACACTTTCCAAACCTAGAAATCACACCGGGTAGTTTCTGAGGGATGAGTTTACCGAAATTGGGGAATGAACGAGGCGATTAAGGTCTCCCTTTCAAGTATAATCCACTTGATCAGTCAACTATTCAGTCATCTCTTTTGACCAGTCCTGGGTCGAATACACCCATCAGAAGGAGCAATTAAAATGAAAATAAATTTAGTAATGAAAGATCAAAATCTTCTTTGTGTGCACCTAAAAAAAATTCATTCTATCAATCATTCATATCATACTATCTTTCATCTTGGGGGCACCGTCAATTAAGAAAAAAATTAAGTGGGGGCATGTATTTTTTAATAAAAAAGATCCATCCTTTTTTAAAGATCCGACATCGTGATGGACCGCTGCAGGGGCATGACGGGAAAGAAGCTGGGCAGGGGCGAGGGGAGGGGAGTGAGGGGGCTCCTCTCCATCATATGTGGCGGGACGGGGGGAGGCGACTTGGGAGCTGGCTCGGCGCCAGCAACTTCCGGAGTGGGAGGCGACACCGTTGCTGGTGCAGAGCAATCCAGATCGCGAATGTTGTCTTCGTATACTTCTCGCTTCAATCTAGAGCGTCCGCACACATCCAGAGTGGATCCTCTCCTTTTTTTATTTATTTTTTTTTTTAAACAATTTGGCCGAGAACAATCCATTAGAGTCTTGATAAATTTTTACAATATAATAAATGAAAATCTATTGAAGTCTACATAGAATTAAAACAATCCATAAATCTTACATAATCCATGAATTATAAAAAATCTAACATAATCTTTTATAATCTATGTTGAATACACCCCTCTTAGATAACAAATTACGATTAGTCACAAACTAATTAGGCAGCAAAAAACACTCGCATTCATCTTAAGTCCACACCCTCCCTCTTTGGTTTCAGTGGTTGCCGCCGGCAAGGGGCCGCCGTTGCTGCAGGTTAGCCCTTTTTCCTCTATTCCATTTCTTTTAACTTTGTCGTTCTCGTTGTTATCTACATGTTCAATGCAAAGTTAAAATGATAATTGCTAACCCCTTCTCTCAATTAATCCATGATAAGTTCGTTTCGTACTTATCTTTTTACTCATATTTAATTCGTTCTTGTATCAATTTTGTTATCAAAACAATAAATTATTTATTATTTTTCATCAAAAATATATGTTTTGATAAATTGATCATAAAAAGAATGTCTTTGAATTAATATGTAAAATTGGGCCAAGAATGGAGTAAAAAGAGTAAATTTTTAATAGAAAAACAATTCTAATTCACAAACGGTGTGGAATTAGAAGTCGGTGCAGAAGGAAAAATGTTCAGGACGAAATTTTGACCGCCGGCTGGTTGGCGGCGGCGGCTAGAAGCAGATCCGGCTGGAAAAGGAAGCATCGGCAGGCTGGCAGGCTGCAGCCTACCTTCCCGCCTGTCGACGGCGACCTGGGAATCCGGAAATTTCTGGATTTTGTGCAGCGGCAGCGGCGGGCTGGCTAGCGGCCGCCGGTCTACCCGCCTATTGGAACTCCTCCCCTTTAAATATCCTTCAGCTCCTCCATTTTCCTCATGCTTCTCTCCTTCGTTTTCGACCTTTTGGGGTGATTTTCTCCTCTTTTCTTCCTCTAATATTGTATTAAATTTGTGTTAGTTAATTTTCATTTCCTGAAGTCAATTTGCAAGTTGTTGGAGCACTGTAAGTTTCTCTTTTTTTTGTGTAATCTTTATTGAACCTTTTATCAATAAAATATCATTTTTTTGATGATTGATATGCATTTGAGAATTTTATATCTTACTATGATGATGTTGAATGTTTTATATGAAATTATGAATGGGTAATTATATACACGTTAGGATTCGGAATAAATCTTTAACCAATTTAATTTCTTCTATTTATTTGTAATTGGATTAATTGTTAGAAAATGAATTAACCTTTATTAATTAATAAAAATTTTTTTATTATTAATTAATCCTTGGAAATTAATCTTTTACTTTGTCTATGAGGTAAAAAGGTTAATTAAGCCACACGCTCCGAACACCTAGAAATAGGAAGGGTTAGAAATAACCGTTTGGAATGGTTTAAACTAATTCATAATACTAAACATTTTATTAATTAAGTAATTGGAAAATAGTTCTTGCCTTGTCTATGAGATTTAGAATTATTTAAACCGAACATTTTCTAGCACAGTACTGAGACCTAGAAATAGGAGATGTACTGAAAATATAATAATTTTATAATTAATACTGAGACCTAGAGATAGGAGATGTATTAAATACAAGATTAGCATTTTATGTTCTATATTGAGACCTAGAAATAGGAGATATATTTGACATAAGTGCTACACGTTTCATTAATCTAATTGCTAATTAAAATATGAGTTAAATTGTGTTAAATCCGAGTTCCAATCCTAAACCCCTGAAACTGTTTGATTAATTTAACTACTTTTAACTCTTAATTACTCTTTTCTTTTGGTAAATTATTAGATTAAACATTAGCCTGTGATAAATAATAAAACTAACTATTCCCTTCGTCACTCCTGGAGAGAACGACCCGAGTCTAACTCGGTTATTTGTTGACTTACCGCTATACGCAGTTCGTCAAATGGCGCCGTTGCCGGGGAGTGACACGGTTTAGTTAGTTTTTATATTTTCATAAGAAAATTTTTAGTCTACTCATTTTATTTCTTTCTATTTTTTTTCCTTAGTTACATTTTTATGAATCGTTTTAATAATTATTATAATTCTCATATTAATGATCGCCCGCCATACCCATATTGTGAAAATAATTTTTCAAATGATTATAACGAAAATTACCATTATGAAAATAGTTTTTTTGAAAATCCACCTATAATTGAAAATGATTATTAGTTTATTGGTCATAGGCGGAATAATTATGATAATGGTAATCTTGATTTGTCACAAAATATTCAAGATAATTTTGGTAATGATCCATGTTATGAAAATAATTGGTATAACAATCCTCCTATGAACGATAATTATTGTTCTTACGATCAATGGGATCATAGGAGGAATGTTAATAATTTTAATAACTTTGATCATTTACCAAATTATCAAAATAATTATTGTGATTTTTATGATAATCAAAATTATTGTAATAATCATCCTAGATTTTTCAATGAAAATAATAATGAGCGGGAGGATAATTACAATAACTTTGATTATCAAGAAAACTATTCCTCTCTTTGTTCCTCACTTTGTCCTATTAATAATTTTGATGCGATTAGTAATGAATTAGAATCGATAAAAAATGACATGGATCGCATTATAAGAAATTTAATTGGGCAAATAGAATTAAAAAGATACACTAACCTTGATTTTGATGAATTTCTTAAAAAGAAGGATTTAGTAGATGAAGAAGGTGATCTTTGTTATAATTTTTCTTATTCTTCTCTAAATCCTGATTCTAATCTTGAGATTTTCAATAATGAAAAAAAAGATATTCTTAAGGAAATTGGGAATCTCTATGAATTATTAGAATTCGAACCTAATGAATCTAATAAAATTCATCAAAATGAATGGTTGGCTGATGAATCCGAGGATGATGAAATTGAGGTGGATAAAATTGTTGAATCAAACATAGCTCAAGAAGGAACATCTTCTTTAGGCCAACCACCTCAAGATGAGGAATTTGATGAAAATGAATATTATCTCGAACAAGAAAATCTTTGGGCTAATTTTGAAAATGAATATCAAGAAACATTGAAAAACTTGCTTGATAAAGGTATTCTTGTTCGAGTAAATTCAGTTAAAAATAATGAAAATCACAATAATGGGATGGAGGGAGTAATGCTTGAGGAAAACTCTAATGTTTCTCCATTAAGTGTAGAAGAGAAAATAGACGATCAAGGACCTGTTTCTTCGTCTCTCAATGGAGAAAATGGAGAACATAAGAGCGAGCTTAAGATAGAATTTTTACAAAAACCCAAGGGCATTGATCATTTAGGGGACTTTATTGAACCTAGGCAGAATTTATATATTGAAGAGAGTCCCGTTGAAATAATCATTCAAGGAGATCTTCTTGAGTCATCTAAGAATTTACAACAAAAAGAAGTTTTTCTTGAACCATTTTTCGTGAAGCCAAACACCCCTAAGAGTATGCCGTTATTGGAATATTTTATACGATGGGGGTGTGTTTAGATCTTTTTATAATATTTTTATTCTTCTTTGGCTTCATGAATATACGTGCATGCGCCACCTTACGGCGATAATCCAGAAAAAAACTAGAGACTCCCAAGGAGAGTGCTCCATTAGA